AGACGACTTGGCCAGTCTCGCAGCTCAAATCGGCGTCGAAGCCAACGGTCTGTTACGGACGGTTGAGACGTGGAACCAGGCGTGCAACGACGGAGTCGATGGGCTATTCGGCAAAGGCCGCAGCAAGTACCACCTCTTCGTTGGGGACAGAAACGCAAAGCGACCAAACATGGGAAACCTTGATGAACCCCCATATTATGCCGTGAAGGTGACTCCGGGAGACGCGGGCACCAAAGGCGGCCTGCTGACGGACGGGCATGGGCGCGTGGTAGATACACGTGGCAACGTCATTGGCGGCCTATACGCGGCCGGCAACTCATCGGCGTCGGTCATGGGTTGTGCGTCGTTGGGAGCCGGGGTTACTCTCGGCCCAGCCATGACATTCGCTCATCTTGCGGTACTCCATATGTTTGACAGGCGCAAGGCCATGGGCGAGCGAGGCTTTCCCTTAACCAGTCAGGAAGGTAGCGATATAGATGCATAGTGATTACGCGGTGTGCTAATTGGTCGGCTAGATTCTAATAACTGTGTCAAAAATAAATAGTTTCCCAAGTTGAAAGATTTACTCTTTAGTGCCACGTTATCATGCTTGTAGCACGAGTGACCAAAATCACGTAATACCTACACTCGCATCAGTCATCTGCTGTATTAGATTGTCACATAGACGGAATTCCTTTATATCTAGTGTGCATGGGTCTTTACCTCTGGTGTATCGTAAGTAAACCTCAGGCAAGGCGGCACATTTTCTTATGTCGCGAAGCCATGTATAGAATACTGGGTTTTTCGGCGTGCAGTGCTTAAGATATTGCCTGGATCCTTTTGTGAAATATCGAGCCTACTTCCGAATCGGCATCTAGACATTACGGACATTCACTGAATTTTGATAAACCTCGCCTGCAAAAGTACATCTTTTATCGTCCTTCTATCGCCTCAAATCTCGGTCACGACGACATGGTCGTCAGCGGTTGACCAAGTGACACAGTCTAGGTACGCCATGTTCGTAGCTCTGACCTTCTCATCTACCGACTTCTAAAGCTTCGCTTTCTGAGGCGGGTTTCCTGTGCCCTTCCACTCATTGCCATAGGCAGGCAAACGCGTAAGAAAATTCTTCAAGGCCTCGCCATTGATGATGGGAGCTGTGGTGTAGTCTTTAGCATTGGTCCTCTTACCAGTTCCGGCAATCGAGGCATCAAATTAGTAAACGCCCTCTCCTCTGCCGTCCAGACTCGTGTCTGGCTGTAATTGCCATGCTCGACGTGCCAATTAGCGTCTTCCTGGATACAACGTTTCTCAGAGAGATCGAGCACTTCCAGGGGTACATTACCGGAATGCAGTGCTGCCTTAGAAGCCATGCGTTGTCCGATAGCCTCCACCATAGTTCCGCATCAAAGAGGGACCGCCGCATTGAACTCGCTGCTTCGATGACCGCTAGGTATCGGAGCCATTCTCGCCGCAATCTCGTCGACTACTCCCCTCTCGTACATGGCCAGAGGGCTTCTTCGATCGACCGGTTGAGGCAGGCAGTATTTCTGTGCCAGAAGCTCCGACGCCAGGCCTGTCCCATGAGTTAGTCGGTGGATCTCAAGAAATGCACGAAAGAAATACAGATGCTGCTGACCAGTGTGTCATCCTCTGCGACTGAAGTCCCCTGGAACGTAGACGCCAGCTCACTGATCTGTCTGTAAGCATAAAAACCCTGCCACCCGCATCGTTCGACAAGCTCGACGAGCAAATGCGATGAACCCACTACGAGTGCTTTGAAAGCGGGCGTAAGGCCTCTGCGAACGTCAGCGGTGGTGTCGGGGTTCATGAATAGCTTAACGGTCCATTCGGCATAAGCATGCAGAACCTCCCCGAAGGCCAGCGTCTTGAGTATGGGGCGCTGCTGCGTGCTGAAACTCATAATAGGCACCACTCGCCCGTGATTTCCGACCCCAACCTGCCGACGCTGGCTATACATGGCCGTGATACACCCGGCCATCTTCAAGGCCGACACGCCCATCATGGACAATGACAATATCCCACGGAAACGCAGTGGATCTGGACCAGGAACTCTGCCCGGTCATCGTTAGCTTTTGCGGGCGAGCCAAGTAGCGCTTTGGCAGGAAGCTCGACGTTTTTGAATGCCGTGATGGAATGGTCCAACGGTTTCGTGCTGAGCCAGACCGGCAGGGCTCGCGACACGCCGACACGATCCCGGGGCGCATTCGGGTCGAGAGTCAAAATATCGCCGTAATCAATACGCGCGAGCAGCTAGGTGACTCGAAAGAGCAGATCAGCGCAGAGAAACACTCAATAAAGCAAGAGCTCGGGAACCGCCAATTTTGTGTACAGTTCTATAGAGTTGTTGTTGTTGTTGTTGTTGTATTTAACGCCGTGGCGGAGGGACCTAGGCCCTTACCGCAGACCTCCCGAAGGGTATAGGGCGTGGAGGGCCGTGAGCGAAGGCTACCTACTCTACAGTACGTCGTCTCTTTACATCGTCCTCCAAATCATGCCTTGTGGCCACTACGCGTTCTATCTGTCTCCGGTTCCCGCTGGTGCCCCAATTTCATTCTTTTCTAAATCGTCCCTTGGAATCGGGAGGTTCTTTGTAGTCCGCACTCACATCTACGTATATGGGTGCTGCTACCGCGGACAGATCTTCTGGAAGAAGTCCGTCACGCGGAGAAAGGCCTCGAAGCCTCGCGGGTCGGTGATTAATCTCTCGAAGTAGGCCTCGAGAGATCCCATAGGGCCTATGGGCTCGGGCGTACTGCGAGAGTGGAGGGTCGGCCACCGTTGCCTCCTCGCCAGCGTTAGTCGACAGTAGACCAGGTGGTCCACGTCTTTCGCCTCTCCACAAGAGCACGTCAGTAGAGCGTCGTCGTGGTTGAAACGTCGATGATATTGTTCAAAGTCTCCGTGACCCGATCGTGCCGCCAGCAGGTGGTGTAACGTAGCCCGCGGCAAGGCCAGTTCAGGAGGACTGCATAGAGCTGCCTCGAGCCCCAAGTCCGCGTACCGCGGCCTTCGCTCTTTATACCACCATCTCCTATGCTGGCTCTGTAGTTTTTCCCTTGCAAGCCGCTTGATGCCCGCCATTGTTGCCATTTGACCCATTCGCGCCTGCAGTGTCGTTCCTTCTTTGGCCAGTCGGTCTGCGGCCTCGTTTCCTTCGATACACTGGTGTCCCGGAGACCAGTGCGTCCGTACATCAAATATCCTGGCTGCTTCTTGGATTTCGAGGAAGGTCTCTTGTGACGAGTCCGGCGCCTTGCCGCGGATACCTTGTATAACGCTGGTGTTGTCGATACATATGTGGATTGGATGGCCACGACTAGTGAGCAGAGCCCTTCTGAGGCCGGCTCGCGCTCCTTCGACCTCGGCGTCGAACACTTCCGCTAGTCCGAGTCGGCCGCATCCTTGCGCTATGCGTTTGGAGTTTCGGTAGATGACGAAGCCGTAGCCCACGGCTCCGTTCGTCGCCCTGGAGCCGTCCGAGAAGACGATCGTATGGCTTTCCGGTACTGTCTCAGTTCTATAGAGGTTGAGTTATGTAACTTGTTGAAAGGGTGCCTACTAAGCTGGCCGGTTCAGTAATATTGATAGAGAAACAATTGGCTTGATAGCATTCTTCTCAAGATAATCAAGAGATAACAGAGGTCCCATTTGGTGATTACATCATGCTCAGAATGATTTCCTTCACCTTTTCACTATCATTGACAAGCAACTCGCCGGCGCCGTTCTTTTCGAGTCCTTCCAAAGCGTAGACATGTGTACGGTACACGAACTCTTTGATGGCTCGTGTAAAGTCGTTACACACCTTAATCCGCACTCGATCATTCCTAGACCGCTCATGCGTCTTCGCCACGGGACCAACACGGTGGGATCTTTCGTAGTACTCAACAAGGGAGTTTATTGATTCGGTGGTCAGCTTGAAGGCCACCTCGTCCCGATCTCTCATATCTACGTGGATGATGGATGCCTTGATGTGGATGAGCCGGAAGTCGGACAGCCGCTCGATATCTTGATTGGAGCTTTGGCGTAGCTCCGGCTCTGAAGGATTAGGCACCGTGATGCATGCAAGATACCAAATGCTTCGAGGAGTTGAGAGCCTTTTGATTATACATGCTTGGCGATGAACGGCGCTGTCGAGCGATTCTATTTGGTTCTCAACGCTCTGAGGCGTCTGAGTCAACCATGGCTGGGCCGTAAGGCCCAGATCAAAGATAGGTGCGAGAGTTCGGGAACCGCAGTTCGCCACCGATGTGTGTAGGAGAACTTGCGTCATGTCTGCAATCAAGAATCTGGACAAAAGGTTGATGTCAGATTAAAACACAGAGAACTTGGTTGTAACCCTTTGAGATGGATAGAAAAGGAGAGATTGTGGCGTCAAAAGGATTTCTCACCGAGCAAACCTCGTCGCAGAAAGGTATTTCAAGAATTATTTCACCGTTTGCTGTGATAGTAGTTGATACTTGGGATTTCTGGGTTTATACGAGTCTCATGGCTAATCAAGCCCTTGTGCATTTTCGACTTGAATCATCCAGCGAAAATCGTGACGTCTGTTGATCCTCACCATTTCCCTATTATGGAGGGAGCAACAAATTCAAGCCTACTTCATTGCAATTAGCTAGATCCAAGATGGCTCCTAAGTCCATCATGTATTGCAGACGGACTCTGTGATTTTTCTCTTTTTCTGCTCAGGAGAGGCTCGTCACGACAACGACGGCATTGGCCTCCTCCATGCGTCCGTCTTTCGAAGTTTAGGTCACGGTCACGGCTTCCTCCTTTACTTCAGTACACTGCTCATTTAAATCCTCTATCGCCGTCGTTTCCAACGACATCAACGGGTGGCGCTGAATTTCAACGGGTACCTTGAATCATTGGCCTATGATCTACATCACTTTCAAGACTGCCACGCTGAACACTTCGACTAAAAGTCAGGCGTTGTTCAGGAGGTCTCCGCGTCACCAGAGCAGCAAAATAGATCTCTTGATCTTCAAATTCGGTCCCGACCTCTTCTCGCCCCTCTCCCAGAAAGCTACCCATGGCCTGCGAATAACCTGACGGCTTATTGCCTGCGAGAAGATAGAATTGTTCAGCTTCTCAGACTAGAGATTTTTATTGATTCTTCTTTGCTTCTTAGATTCCTTGAAAAGAAGAGGCGGCCAGAGGACAAATTCAATCATCTCGTGTTTACAACATACATAACAACATGATGATGCCAGGACCGGATGAAGATGC